TCTCGGCACAAGTTGGCTTAAGATATGGTGTCCGGGGCTTGCACCGCTCTTGTCACGGGTCATCTTCGCTTAAGGTGTCCGGGGCTTGCTCCGCTTTCGTTACGGGTCGACCTGGCAAGTGGTGGCTGGGCTTTGCACAGCTTTCGTCACGGGTTTACTGGCATTAGGTGGCCGGGGCATTCTTCGCTCTAGTCACGGGTCGGCCTGGAATGAGAGTCCGTGACTTGTGTCAATCTCGGCACTAGCTAACCTGGCATGAGATATCTGTGGCTAGTTTTAATCTCGGCACGAGTTGATCTGTGATGAGATGTCTGTGGCTTGCTCCACTCCAGTTACGAGTAGGCCTAGAATGAGGTGGCCGGGGTTTGCTCCGCTCTCGTCACGGGTCGACCTAGCATGAGATGTCCGGGGCTTGCTCCTCTCTCGTCCCGGGTTGGCCTGGCTTGAGGTGATAGGGGTTTGCACTGCTCTAGTTACGGGTCGGCTTGGAGTGAGGTGGCCGGGGCTTGCTCCGCTCTCGTCACGTTTTCATCTTGAATGAGGTGACAGAGGTTTGCACCGCTCTAGTTACTGGATGGCCTGAAGTGAGAGGCCCGTGACTTGTTACCGCTGTCGCGTAACAGTCTCAACCTTCCCTTCATCTTAAACTTTTCTTGATCATGTCGTCCCCTTGAAGCGAGGTCAAATTCAAAAGTGAGCTCGCCTGTGTGGGTATATAGTCCTTCTTATATATTTACACTTCTTTATGATATAATATGAATGACATGTTCTGAATCTCTTGGTATGTCTCCATTTTCAAACTTACAGTTCGAAGATGGAGATTCTTGGTGTTATTGCTCATGATTTATCTACTGACTGACTGACACTGTTTAAATAGAGACTAGTACAGTCTCATTATCCCGAGAGCTGTCCTCTGAGCTTTATATGTGGGGATAGAGAGTTAAGTGAGAACTGGACATATGTTTTGAGATGACTGCTAATTCTCGTGTTCCACTTCCTCACAGGATGAGATCTCCTTGGAGGCCATGCAGTTAATCAACAGTCCATAAAGCCACCAACTCTTATTTGCCACCAGCAGCCAGAAGAAACACAATGAGTTCGGCTGGCACCTTTGTCCAGACGCCCATGTAGTGTCCAGTGTCTCCAGTTGGAGCGATCCACACCAAGGGAGCCACTCAGAGAAGCCAAAGAGCCTACTATCCCTGGTGACATTATTATTGTCCCATTACCATACATCCTAGAACGGTTATAACCTATTGACTCAATTAGCCAGCTATCACAAGCCATGGACATTGTGCATTGTCCGAGAGTCTACCAGCAGTGACGGAGTTCCAGCCAGCCCAGTGAGGTGGAGCAAGCAGAGCAGACCCGGAGGAAGCTGAGCACACTATTTTGGAGGTCAATTCAGATGCAATGCCACAGTCCTAGCTTCTATATCCCTCACCAAGAAAGGAAGATAATGGCGGCTCCTTAGGAAATATATAGTGCCAGTCATATCTAGTGTGTCTGTGGTTTCTTAATGTCATTGATTCTGTTGAGTTCTTTTTGCCTGATTCATGTATGTCTATGCTGAACTTATTACAAGTCTTTAGGATTTTTCGGTCAGGATTTAGTGTCCATCCTTCTTAATATATATCCAGTTTCGTCCTTTTAAGGACGAAATTTTTTGTCATTTGAAGCCCTACTCTGGCTTTTGCCAGGGGCCGCAATATAGGCAGGCCATACATATGGCCAAATGTCTGAACGCGGTTTCTGGGACCTCTCCACGGCGATCCTCATCCGCATGGTGGCACTTTGTGTCATCGGGTGTTTATCGCTTGTGTGATGTCCTGGTGGGGTAGAAAGTCAGTCAGTCAGTCCATCCTTCACTGTTCTTAGCTGTCTGGAGTGTGTGTATTATTATAGTGTATTTTATTCTGTGTCAGCATGAATATGATAATAGACTATCTAGTCTGGGGGCTGTTTCTTTGTAGTAGTGAGGAAGTACGCCCAAGTTGCGCCTAGGAGTATATATTCTGTAGTGCCATAACTTGTGTCGCCTCACCCCTGAAATAGGTTGGATGTGTATTGTGACTGCGGGATTCCGCCTAGACCATTACGAGCCGACATTCCAACATTTATAACTATTTCAGAGTGCTGTTGGTTCAGTAGGGGAAATCCTTAACTAGGCACGTGACACGAGCAGTATATGACAACCGCTTAAAGCAGCAATTATCTTTTTTTTTTAAATCTTCTATGGCTGCCATTTTAAAGTTCGCCTTTCAGATCCGAAATTGTGGAAGCGGGCTTCGGTTCACTAGACCAGACAATGACAGCTCACATTTCTCTCGTATAACTTGTGTTTCATGATGCCCAGGAAGAAACGTGCAGACAGGCAGAGTGTAATTGTGGAGAGAGTGAACAAGAAGACAACAGAGACAATGAGATGAGCAGTAGTCTTCTTCTTCCTCGCGTTCGACGGCTGTAAACTACTGCGGAAAGTTCCGGCAGTTAATCAACTTCTAACTTAGCCTTGTTTCAAAACCTAAGTTTTGCGTGCACGGTCATTTTACAGATCTGGCTTATTTGTATGCAGACAGTCGGTTCCTCGCCTCTTGGGAAGAATCACTCCGACTTCGAAAAAATATCAATAACTAGCAAATATCAGGACTCGAGGCGCGTCACTTAGACTTAACTCGCGTAATTAACGCTTGCATCTTCCCTTGGGGTTTTGCCCAGCGACTGTTGTCTTTACTTGCGACTTGTAGCTTTGAACGACTTAGTACGACTCGTTTTTTCTGGCCTGCCAATGCGGGGTTTGGTGACCAGTGACACATTTTTAAAAGTTTTCATCTCTCTCTCTCTCTCTCTCTCTCTCTCTCTCTCTCTCTCTCTCTCTCTCTCTCTCTCTCTCTCTCTCTCTCTCTCTCTCGTTGTACCCTACCAGAACATCACAGAAACGATAAACGCCCGGTGACACAAAGTGCCACCATGCGGATGAGGATTACCCGTGGAGAGGTCCCAGAAATCTCTTTCAGCCGTCAGGCCATATTTATGGCCTTTCTATATGACGGCGGTCTGCCATGTAGGAAAGAAGCATTAAGCTCAGAGACAGCGCAAATACTAGAACTTTAGCCACGTAAGTGGCGAAAAAAATAAATATAGCCGGAGACTGTTGGTAGCTTCGCTTAGCTAGCAGCAGGATGAACGTAACTGAGTTTTTGATTAAAAAAAATAAAAGGAATTGGAGTTGGAATCAAGGCCCCAGCAAAAGACAGGCTGGGGCTTCAAATAACTAAACATTGCATCCCACAAGGGGACGGCTGCTATGTACTTGACAGTTTTCATGTTGGAAAACAATTTAGGAGAGCAAGAAAAGATACGCTGCTGCTTATATTCTTATCATTGAAGGCGACAATTTAAATTATTGCTGAAATCGGTTGCGTTCAGCCAAAATGAGAAGATGTCACAGCCTAGCTGTAAACCACACAATATGCCAACAGTCGCTCTTTTAAAGGTGAACGCAGATGTGCTGTGTTTACAAACAAGACGTTCACAGTCACGTGTCTTCAGTGAGGTGTGTTTACTTGGACACTTCCCTCCCCCACGTTGCTGGGCCAGTCGGTCAGTCAGCTGTGTTAGTGAGCTACACCCGAGAACAACTAAACTGTAGCTTCAGCGTGGGATTACATCCACAAGTTCAACATGGATACCACTAAACATACAACATGCTGGCCCACAGCTTTGCTGATATTGACGATTCTACAATTGGTACGTAATCAGTTATTAAGATAGCTAGCCAGTTTGTTAGAAATTGCCAACTGTTGTTATTACTAATACCATAGCTTTCAATGTTTATTTTTCGAATGTGTCCTTATGTCTTCTCTCTCTCTCTCTCTCTCTCTCTCTCTCTCTCTCTCTCTCTCTCTCTCTCTTTGCATCTATGAGTGTCAGTCACGCTACCTGTGTCTGTGAGTCTTAGACACTTACTCAATCGCTAAAGAAAAAAAAAAGAAAAAAAGGAGCTTTTTATTGAAATCTTAAAAAAAAAAAAAAAAAAAAAAAAAAAAACTCTTATAATTTAATCAACTGAGATGAGGAAGAAGAATATCGATATCATACATGATCTGAACATCGATGAGAACTAGCTCATAAACAGCACCCTGGCCCGAAAGTTGAGGTATTTTGCCCATGTTAAACGTTACGGTAGCCGGGGTGGGGTTTGATGATGGAGGGCAGTTTCTAGAAGACAAGGTAGAGACCGACCTCAGCAAATGCAGGTACACATATTGAAAATGCATTTGCTTTGAAAGCACATAGGGCTGGAGAATTGGTTAGACTTTCAAGCAAGCCGTGGCGAGAGCTACATTCTTTCAGTAACCCACTCAGCAAATGCAGGTACACATATTGAAAATGCATTTGCTTTGAAAGCACATAGGGCTGGAGAATTGAAAGACTTTCAAGCAAGCCGTGGCGAGAGCTACATTCTTTCAGTAACCCACTAACGGTGGGTAAGTGGGAAGGGGGGGGGGCATATTTTTTTTCAAACCCCTATCCAGCTGCTGTCGGAAGCCCATATTATAACCTAACAGTTGAATTGGGTTTCTGTAACTTGTGCCGGGGGGAACTGTCATCCTAATAGTGGCAGCTTGTGTCACCGGGTGTTTATCGCTCCCTGCACTCTCCTGGTGAGGTTGAACATCACTCACTCGTACATATTTACATTTTATACTTAGCATTGCAAACTTTTTTTTTTCAAACCCCTATCCAGCTGCTGTCGGAAGCCCATATTATAACCTAACAGTTGAATTGGGTTTCTGTAACTTGTGCCGGGGGGAACTGTCATCCTAATAGTGGCAGCTTGTGTCACCGGGTGTTTATCGCTCCCTGCACTCTCCTGGTGAGGTTGAACATCACTCACTCGTACATATTTACATTTTAAACTTAGCATTGCAAACTTCCGGTACTGTCCTAAGACGTGCTATCTTTGTATTAACCACCACTAAAAAGGACACAAGGTCATGGCTTGTTCCACTTTGATACCTCAATTTACGCTTCGCGTGTATTCACCCACAGTCCCTCTGTAGCCTCTGTGTGAATGTCAATACTTGAAACCCTAGCGGACCCAATTCTCTGTAAACGAACAGTTGATTTCGCCCACTAGGGTCACCGTTTCAAGTATTCACCCCCAGTTCCCACCATTTGTTAGCTGTTTGGTTTTACTAGACAATTTTATGTTTAGTAGTTTGCCATTGCCTCCAACAGTCAGAGTTCTAAATAAAGACTGGCTGACTTTCTACCCCACCAGGACATCACACAAGCGATAAACACCCGATGACACAATGTGCCACCATTTGGATGAGGATCACCGTACCGAGTTAAAGAGTACTCATGGCTTCTGAATACTTACATTAAAAAAAAAAAAACCGAGATAAAAAAAAGTCGTGGCAATATAAACTATTTCTGTTTCTCTGTTCATTCTCTGCAAACATAGCCTCAATGTGTCAGTATGTTCGTTCTCTGCAAACATAGCCTCAATGTGTCAGTTTGTTCGTCCTCTGCAAACATAGCCTCAATGTGTCAGTCTGTTCATTCTCTGCAAACATAGCCTCAATGTGTCAGTCTGTTCGCTCTCTGCAAACGTAGCCTCAATGTGTCAGTCTGTTCGTTCTCTGCAAACATAGCCTCAATGTGTCAGTCTGTTCGTCCTCTGCAAACATTGCCTCAATATGTCAGTCTGTTCGTTCTCTGCAAACATAGCCTCAATGTGTCAGTATGTTCGTTCTCTGCAAACATAGCCTCAATGTGTCAGTCTGTTCGTCCTCTGCAAACATTGCCTCAATGTGTCAGTCTGTTCGTTCTCTGCAAAAATGTTTCAGTCTGTTCGTTCTCTGCAAATATAGCCTCAATGTGTCAGTCTGTTCGTTCTCTGCAAAAATGTGTCAGTCTGTTCGTTCTCTGCAAACATAGCCTCAATGTGTCAGTCTGTTCGCTCTCTGCAAACATAGCCTCAATGTGTCAGTCTGTTCGTCCTCTGCAAACATAGCCTCGATGTGTCAGTCTGTTCGTTCTCTGCAAACATAGCCTCAATGTGTCAGTCTGTTCGTCCTCTGCAAACATAGCCCCAATGTGTCAGTCTGTTCGTTCTCTGCAAACATAGCCTCAATGTGTCAGTCTGTTCGTTCTCTGCAATTCTCTGCAAACATAGCCTCAATGTGTCAGTCTGTTCGTTCTCTGCAAACATAGCCTCAATGTGTCAGTCTGTTCGTCCTCTGCAAACATTGCCTTAATGTGTCAGTCTGTTCGTTCTCTGCAAACATAACCCAATGTGTCAATCTGTTCGTCTTCTGCAATCATAGCCTCAATGTGTCAGTCTGTTCGTTCTCTGCAAACATTGCCTCAACGTGTCAGTCTGTTCTTCGTGCACTATCAATGGCTCTCGTGGTCTGTTTCGAAGAATCTTGATGATACATTTAGAAGCTAGTGTGAGACTTAACTGGCACCATCAGTGTGGGAACTCATTGTTGGTTACTAACAAAACTTTTTAGGACCATTTTTGTTACTTGAAGGCTTTTGCCAATATAGGCAGGCCATAAATATGATCAATTGTCTGAACGCGGTTTCTGGGACCTCTCCACGGCGATCCTCATCCACATGGTGGTACTTTGTGTCATCGGGTGTTTATCGCTTGTGTGATGTCCTGGTGGGGTAGAAAGTCAGTCAGTCACATACAATACTGCGCTCTTACACAGTAATCTAAAAATATATTTTGATTTCTGCCTGTAAGGATTTCTTACACTGCTTATAGAGACGAAACGCCAGTAGTTCATTCATCTGTTTACAGGCGAGCACGTTGGAAAAGCAAGTATTTGACTTCTTTGGACATCTCTGGGCACCAGTTATAGGCAACTTTCTCCATATTGTTGTCGCTGTTATGGCCATCTGTGGGGTCTGCAGATTGAACAGTTTCCTAATAATCACGGTAAAGATGTAATTAACTCCTTTCTCTTTATATATGAACTACCAAAGGTAAATACTGAACTTATTATACGTTCTTTGGTCATTGCAAAGATAATTTTATTTGTTGCGATGTTCTTTGTATCCTAATTTTTTAGTTTAACCAGTTCTGCACAGTAGGGAATACACACACTGAAATACTAATTTAACAGGGGGCGTTGTAGAGATTCTGAAAGATAATCAACAGTAAAGGGGAACGAGCAGAGGACTTTTAATCGGGCTGCAAGCGATACTGTTAGCATGTTCACTCTTCGTTGGTTACTGAAGAAGGTGACGGAGCACGTGTAGGGATGTCCCGAGTGCAGTGAGGATAATTATTGATTGATTCATTAGCACAATAAATAGTACAGAAGGAGCGGTTGACCGAGCAGGTAAACGCATATGCTCTCATATGGGATACACGGATTCGAATACTTGGTTAAAAAGGGGGGGGGGGGGGGGGGCAGTTGTTTTTTTTTCATGCTCGGGGGAAGGGGTGAAGCATCCTAACCTGCACAGTTGGTTTATATGAATATATTTATATATCAGAATATTTCGTGCACACACACATACAGACGAGGGACAGTAAAGGCAGGAGAGCAAGTGGGGGGTGGGGGGGGGGGGGGGGGGGTAGCATTAAGAGATAAAAGAAAGAACGACACTGTGTAATTGAAATTCCTATTCTTCTTTGCTCACACCTTTAAGCGAAAAGTCCTGGTTATTCGCCCATTTGGACTTTGGCTCTGTGCCAGGACCTGAGTTTTGTTTGTAGATCAGTTTTACTGGTTTATTTATGTCCTACTGGCCGTCCCTTTGCCGCTCGGGCAGATGAAATCCGAAAACGAAGGAAGCTCTCAATCAGTGAACTCTTACGACTTCTTTTACGTCATGCTGTTTGGAGTGGCAGTGGGTCTGTTACAGTGAGGTGTGCTGTGTGTTGCGCTCCATGTGCTACGTGTTTCTGATTGATTTGATTTGATTCAAGAATCGACATCACAGCACTCGGGGCATTCCCATAAGCGCTCCGTCCCCATCTTCAGCAGCCAGCAAAGAGTTCCGATGATAATGGTGCCAGTAGCATTCTGATTAAACGTCCGTCTTGTCTTTCCTCTGAGCCTCGAGCACACCCCGCTGCATCAATCTCATCAGACTGTGGCGATCCATCTGCTCCTCCGAACTGTACACGCTCTCCCACAAGGCACTAACCACGTCTGCCTTATCATGTATCAGTATTCCACTCAATGGCCACGGTCATCCTAGAAATAGGCCTGACGTCTTCCTTCGAAGTCGGAGTACAGCTGCCCATGAGGCAGGGAAGAACGAAACGGTTGTACACGCAAAACTCAGGTCCAGGTAAAAGCCAAAAGTCCAAGCGAACGATTAACCGGGACCTTCCGCCGGAATTCACAGCCGGTGAACGAAGAAGAAGTAGTATTCCACCAAGTTGGTGTTTCTGTAATTCACCAAACCATTATCGATGAAGTGAACAAGAAGGTCACTGACCCTTTTCCTATCATGGACACATCGGGCCTATGGTGCTAGAACAGCGGTTCTAAACCTGTGATTCACGACCCTTTAGGGAGGGGGGGGTGTGTGTGTGTGTGTGTGTGGGGGGGGGGGGGGGGGGGGTGGTCGAAAGACCTTTCACGTGAGACGCTTAAGACCATCAGAAAACACATATTCACTGAAGTTACGAAGTGGCAACAAAAATAATTTTCTGGTTGGGGGCCACCACAGCACGAGGAACTGTATTAACGGGTCGCCGCCTAGGAAGGTTGAGTACCACAGTGCTAGATCCATATGTTAAATCAGCATTCGATGGGTTGGGGAGGGGTAGAGATAAATACACACACACACACACACACATATATATATATATATATATATATATATATATATATATATATATATATATATATATATATAGAGAGAGAGAGAGAGAGAGTGCGATGTGATCAAATACACACCGATCACCTTTACTACTCAGGACATTTCCCGTTACCTAATATAGATTGGGTGGACTTCAGGGTCAAGGTCAATTTTAAAATTCTGCCCCAGATCGGTTTCCAAACTGAAGCCTTTGTGCGACATGCTTGCGTCTGTGCAATTATCTAACACATATCATTTATTAACGGCCAGCGTAGGCTGACATCGCACATGAGCACCAGAATCCAGGATCAGTTCAATGTTTTTATCTCACCCCATCCATTTGGCCAGGCAATCAAGGTATTTATCTCTTTGGCTTCTTCTTGCTCTCTTTCCATCAGTCTTGCCAGTTGTTTCTAAATTCTCGTATTGATTTCTTCCAATAACACGGAGAAAAAAAATAATACTGACTATGTGATATTGTTCTAATAAATTTACGACTTTCACCTGTCTCGATGAGGACTGCCTATTTTGTTTTCCTATCTTCCATGATATTCATTTGCAATCTTCTCTCAGAGACCACATCTTTGCTGCGAGTAGATGCTTTTCAGCTTGTCTGTTTATTGTCCATGTTTCGCATACATATAACAAAACAGGTTCTAATCTACGTAGTACTTGGACACTTTTTTCCTCACTGCAATTGATATCTTCTTGTCAGTCAGCATCTTTTGCATCTTACTAAAGGGCACTTTTGCCTTTTTCTTCTAATTTCTGCAGAACATTTTGCATCAGATTTTATGATTACTCCTAAATAACTGTATTTATGAACTTACTGAAGTTTTGTCGTTTGCATGCCGATTTTTTTTCTTTTTGGTGATGAGGATAATTTCAATTTTCTTACAGTTTAATTCAAAGCCTAGTTTCTCCATGTGAACTATCACTGCATCCACTAAACAGATCGCTCTAAAAAAATTGTTGTATTCAGCTGATGTATCCAACACTTATTGATGTAATGCCCTGTGTTTTGTTATGCATTGCTTTGATTTATTTAACCTTTATTAATGTAGGATTTGCTTACATGTAGTGTTCTGTATTTTCAGTATGCTACTTGGAACTTGCTATGGCTTGCATGGAATACCTTCGTCATGTGTGTGTATTTGGAGGTTGGAACTCTGAACCGAGTAAGTTGCTGTCCACTAGCTGTCCTAGGGTACCTAGCTGTGGTAACTTTTGTCCTCACGCTGTTACCAGATTGTAGCTCAATGTCGGATCTTCTGTATTTGTCTTTGTCTTCTCATGATGGCTTTGGTCTTTATTATTTTTCATTTTTTAGGACCCAGCTATACCCTCTTTCGTTCTATTTCTTGATCTGCGCTAAATGTAGGTTAATTTCCTGCGTTAAGCAGAAAAATTATATTGTAGAAGGTTTCAAAGTTCAGTCAGGCTGCATTCTTACTAGGCGGGCAAACCTTTTCATTCTCTCAATGCAAGTCAGGCATGGTGTTGATCCAACCGTCTCTCAAACGCTAGTATATGTGACCCTTCCTTTCTCGTGATCTTGGCGACCTTTCGGAGACAGTTCCCTTCAATGTGTTGAGTTGCATATTTACGGGCACCAAGTGACGGAAGATGGTACCCATGGGACAGGAAATTCACTTCACTGAAACTATTAACTAATGTAATGTCTTGTCATATAACCAGGGCTAAATTTAGACTTAATGAAATCCTAAGCTATATAAAGCCCTGAGGCTCCCACTGTTTTAAATTACACCAGCTAATCTCAGAAAACTTTAACATATAAATTTTGGTCACGGAAATATGTTATCGTTTTGAAATTTATATAAAACAAATAATAAAGAATGTTTGCAAAATCACATGAATGGTTTTGAGGGTTTTTAACAATGGATCAACATTACACGGGTGTTTACCCATAATTGCTCCGCTCTTCTTCTATCTCAAGTCTGAGTTCGAAGATGCTCAGCACAGTGCACAGGCTTTGTTGCACCGGCTAGGATCCTGAAATACTTTGGGTAGATTTTAAACGCCAGATTTTGCCTGGGCAGCGCCGTTAGGCTATTCTTTTTCGATTTCCAATTGTGAAGGGATTTTTTTTACGTGCACATGGGTGTCCTGACTAAGCTGGGCTTTTTTTCAGAAATGACCTTCCCTCCCAGGTCGACCCAGCCTTGAATTGGTATCAGGTGCTGTCCTGGAAAGTAAAGATGGCCGGCGTGATGCTGACCACATTACCCACCAAGTGTCGATTAGTCTATAAAATATTGTCTGACCCTATGTGCCCAATATGCCTGAAGGCGTGGAAGAGGGTCCTTTACTTTACTTACAACAACATTACTGCTTGGTTGTTGGTCCCTCACTTGCTATTCTCATCATTACAGCTCAATGGTCGTTGGTCCCCTCATTCCTTCACTTAATATCCTTAAGACAGCTCAATGGTCGCTGGTCCCCTCATTTCCTCACTTAATATCCTCATGACAGCTCAATGGTCGTTGGTCCCCTCATTCCCTCACTTATTATCCTCATGACAGCTCAGTGGTCGTTGGTCCCCTCATCCCCTCACTTAATATCCTCATGACAGCTCAATGGTCGTTGGTCCCCTCATCCCCTCACTTAATATCCTCATGACAGCTCAATGGTTGTTGGTCCCCTCATCCCCTCACTTAATATCCTCATGACAGCTCAATGGTTGTTGGTCCCCTCATTCCCTCACTTAATATCCTCATGACAGCTCAATGGTTGTTGGTCCCCTCATCCCCTCACTTATCTTCATGACTGCTCAATGGTTGTTGGTCCCCTCACTTGCTACCTCATCATTGCCTAATGGGTAATGGTTTCCTCATTGAACGTATAAACTAGTTACTACTTTGTTGTTAGTCTCTTTGTATATCTCCCTGCCTTTTCGTTTCATATTTTTCTTTCTGTTACCATTCCTTCCATTACCTGGTTAATATGAGCCAATTATCTGAGGCCAGTGTACAATCTCCACTCCATCTATCTAAGACTTTTCTTAACCGAAGAGGGTTTTGCTAGTCGCACTCACTATCTCCTTGGGCTGTAATATCAATTCCGTCCTCCAGCACATTGTTTGGAAAGATAGAAAGATGTCAACAATTTATAACATAAAAAAAAAGAGGACTTAGATAGGTACTTAATTTATAACTTACCCCTGACGTCACGACAACGTCACGGGAGACATTCCCAATAAATTCTAGGGTGTCCAGGTTGTAGTTTCTCGCGATTTATCTACAGCCAAGTTTAGGGTTAGGGTTAGAAGACACTAGATGAATACTCAAAATCAGCACAACACAACAGCACACTTGCACCCCTTGAAATAATGGACTTCAGGTCAGCTGTGGATTTCCCACAGAAATTTCGTGTTTGGGGTACGTTATAAATTAAGAACCCTTAGATAATCTTTGAATTAATTCACCAAGACCAATCAATCGTTCAGTCAATCAACAGTCCATATCCTAGTGTAGACAGCAGAAGAAAAATGTGTATGCCACAAGACCAACAAACAGTATTCACTGACAACATCTTGAAATGAGAAACATCAGTCCATTGTTTCTTGTCTCACACAGAACCAGGAGAGACACATCCTAACTCTGGACACTGACGGGGCCAGCTGGTGGCTGGACCATGGCATTGGCTGTCAGGTGATCAACTCCAACAAGACTGATGCAGTGTCGGTGAGTCAGGAAAGAAGCAGTCTACCTGAAGCTCGTACAATAGGATGCCAGATGAAGTATTATTATATTGAGGTGATACATGCAGCCATACAGTGCTTACTTGCTGTGAGTATTTGTGTAGCTCAGTACATATATCTAGTGATTTGATATCTAGTGATTTGATATCTAGTGATTTGATATCTAGTGATTTGATATCTAGTGATTTGATATACACAGTGAATGTTTTTGGTAACAGGGCGTTAAACAAGTAAAGAGCCATCTTCATGCCAGTGGAAAATGGGGCTAGGTTAACATTTATAGACCTCAGGCACTTAATAGATGTGGTCAGCATCATGGCAGCCACATTTACATGCATCAGTAGAAGTGGTATGGGAAATTGGATAAAGAAATTAACATTAGATGCAGTAAAGCAAACCAAGTATTGGGACAGCTAGCCCTCCTCTTACAGCATAAGACAATCCCAATCAGCACAAAGAGACATCTTATTCAAAGCATATTTATTACAACTCTGTGCTACCAGTGCCAGACATGGTCACTCACAACAAACCATAAAAGAACATTAGTAACCACTGAAATGAGATGTATGAGAAGGGGTGTAGGAGTGACCGTAAGAGATAAGATCAGGAATTAGATCATAAGAGAACAAGTCGGCACAGAACCAATTCTGGATTACATACAAAGACAGCAAGTGAAATGGTTTGCCCACTTAGAGAGAATGCCTTGTGACACCATACCATACAAAGCATACATGGAAAGAGAAGAAGGACGTAGAGCACGGGGTAGACCAAGAACAAGATGGAAGGATAACATCAGAGAAACTCTACAACAGCACGATGTGCCTATGGTCGAGGCAGCCAGAAGAGCTAGAAACAGAACCTTATAGCTCCCTCGACACCCACAGCGGTAAAAGAGGAAGTGAAGAAGAAGAAGAAGAATAGAAGTGGTCAGCATCATGGCAGCCACATTGACCTGCAGCAATAGAAGTGGTCAGCATCATGGCAGCCACATTGACCTGCAGCAATAGAAGTGGTCAGCATCATGGCAGCCACATTGACCTGCAGCAATAGAAGTGGTCAGCATCATGGCAGCCACATTGACCTGCAGCAATAGAAGTGGTCAGCATCATGGCAGCCACATTGACCTGCAGCAATAGAAGTGGTCAGCATCATGGCAGCCACATTTACAGCTCCTTGGTCAGTTATAAAACATCAGTTCTGGTGCAAATTCAAACAGAAGGACCTTCAGACTGGAAAGCAAGTATTTAGACACTTTGCTACCATTTAATTTACTTTATCAGGGCTTTTATTTTTTTTTCTAAATAAAAAGGTGTCTGTTAAGCAGAACAGCAAAAGTGATGCCTGAACAAAAGCTGCCGGTACTGTCTACCATTGCAGACCACCAGAAAAATGCCCTGCACTTTATTATTTTTCATTTTTTAGGACCCAGCTATACCCTCTTTCGTACCCCCAGAAAAATGCCCAGGGCGCGCTCAGTCGCTTGATATGCTGTGATGTTATGCACTCTTAAGGTGCCGGTGACTCCTTTGATCCATCTTCTTCTTGGTCTTTCCCTGCCTCCTGATGTTTCGATTTTCAGGTTGTACGCTCTTGCTGCTGGCATCGTTATAAATATTGTATTTATAATTTGTCTTTTTGTTGCTATTGGGACAGCAGGGTGTTTTAAAATTGGAGCAGGTTGGTACATGACATTGTTGTCTTGTTTGATTCTCATTTCTATCTCTCAATTTTACCATTGTGTGTAAAAATGCTTCCAAGTATTTAAATTCTTGCACTTGTTTCAGACTTTGATCTTTATGTCGATGGTTTGTTGCTCTCTACTTATTCTCATGACTTCAGTTTTTTTTTTTCAGTATTGATCTTCAAGTGATGTTTAAGGCAACTGTTAATGTGGTCCTGCAGCTGGTTACTTTCACTGTGGAATATGCACTGATCGTCAGCAAAGAGCAGCACATTGAAGTCCTCCTGTTTATCGACATCTGATGGTGTTATGTCTATTTTATAAATATTGTCCATGAATATTATAAAAAGTGAAGGTGAAAGAACACACCTTACACAAGAAAGAACACACACGCCTTAATCCTGATGTTACTGGGAACCAGTCTGTGAGGCCAGCTCTTGGTCTGATGGCAATTTCACTTTTTCTGTAAATAGCGCTCACACAATCTAGCACTATTCCATTTATACCATAATTTCCAAGGACAAACCATTGTAAATCTCTGTTCACTCTGTCAAAAGCTTTTTCTTGATCTATAAAAGCAAAAGGGATGTTCATTTGGTGTCTGTTCTATTATCTTTTCGCTAGTTTGCCTTAGCTGGGCTGGGCTCAGAATCGGTTCTCCAGCAGATCTAATTTGTTGTTCCAGAATCTTGGCAAACATTTTACCTACTGGCTTCAAAGGGAGATGCCTCAATAAGTCTTATAATCTTGCTTATTGCCTTTTCTTTTCCATATTGGTGCAATAATGGCTTTTTGCCAGTCTATCGGTACAGTTCTTTCATTCCAGTCTTTCCTAAATATATGGAGTAGCCAGGTGACTCCAGTTTCTCCACTGGCGTCATAATATCTATATTAAAAAAAAAAACCATCACATAAATTTGTACATTTTCTCACTGAATTACAGCATCCCACTTGTAAATGTCATCATGTAATATTTCTGTCTTGTCTCTTTTTCAGCTTTTTGGCTTGGTGGCCTCTTTGATCTGCATCTATTTCATCAAGAAAAATCACAGAGACATGACAATAACATCTTTCAACCCACACAATGCTGCCTATAGTCTGGCATTCCCATTCCAGTTTTGGAATCGGAAACTCCATGGGACACCTCTGCGCACAAGAAGACATGTGCGACATGCTACAGTTACAGGAAACTTTGACTTTCAGCTTCCGTCTCTGCCACATATAGCCTTTCCCCATTCACCAGATTACCCGGTTACACCACAGCATCTGCAGAATTCAAGAGTCATTGAACCCATGTTGGGTAACAACTTGAAAACCCCATCCCGGCAAATTCAGGCCTTAAAAAATTCCTTCTCCAACTTGTTTATGATTAATCATTACATGTGTAGCACATTCTTCTCCTACCCGGTCTCAAAACGAGCAAGACTTGGGGCTCAGAGTTACTGCTCAGACGAGACTATATCTCAGGAAGAAACAGAATATAGGCCTAGCAACACTGATCGGAGTGAGAACTATCAGAAACCAGAAGTCTGGTACAGGAAAGCAGATCCAGCCAATGAAGATGTGGACTTGGATGATGACATCTGGATACTGCAGACAGAGTTATAGCATGACACCACATGCATCTATTTGTGCATTGTTTAAATAATATACTAACATGGCTAGTCAATCTTTTACTAATATGATCACCAAACTGCTCATGATATTACCAGTCAACATTGCATGATATTACCAGCAACATTTCATATTACCAGTTGGCATTTCATATAATATTTCTTGACATTACTGCCAACATTTGAAATGAATGGTCAACATTTCATGACATTACCAGCCAACATTTCATAATAATGCAGTCTATATTTCATTATATCATGTCAACATTTCCTGTTACTAGTCAACATTTTATTGATATTACCAGTCAACATTTCATGATGTTACCAGTCACTATATCATTTGATTGGTCAACATTTCATGACATGGTCAGTGAAAATTTCATATGATTAGTCAACACTTCAGGACATGACCAGTCAACCCTTTATAATAGATTTGTTCATGTTTAAACATTTGATTGATCTGCCTTTTTTCATAATCTAGGTCAGTATTTCATGATATGATTGGGCAACGTCACCAGCTAGCCTTTCGTCATCTGACCAGTCAACATTTCATCTACTTACTAATCAACATTTCTTGTTATGACCAGTCAACTTTCCATGATATGACTAGGTCACTTTTTGTCAACTTGTAAATCTGGTTTTTACTGTGTGAGCACTCAGCATTTCTTGATATAATTAGGCAGCTTGTTTTGACGATATAAGTGTAAATTTTGCAATGTGACAAGTCAAAATGTAATCATGACTGTTCAGCTTGTCATCATACACCTAGATTACTTTGTATCATATGACAAGATTTTTTATCATATGACAAGTTATTTTTCATTAGACGATTATTCAACTATTTATTGTAACATATTTATAATGTGACTAGCCAATTTATCATATTCTTAGTCAACATTTCATCTAATGACCAGCCATCTTTTTAATCACAGGATTAATCAGCTTTTAGTGGGATGATTAAGTAAGATTTAATGATGCATCTAGTCAACTTTGCATCAAATAATTAGTAATCTTTTCCTCATATGACTCAACAACATTCCTTCTGGCAAAACCTGAGCAATAGGATGTGGGCTGGTATTTGTTAAGTGCTACAGATTTGATGGGTACTGGATTTTATTGATGGGCATTCTGAACCTCATGTCCCAGCACTGAACCTCATGTCCCAGCACTGAACCTCATGTCCCAGCACTGAACCTCATGTCCCAGCACTGAACCTCATGTCCCAGCACTGAACCTCATGTCCCAGCACTGAACCTCATGTCCCAGCCCTGAACCTCATGTCCCAGCCCTCAACCACCCCGGTGTACGTGGTGGCAGTGTCTGAGATGTGTATGCTTTCCTTGCAGGTCAGATTTCCTTTCACTCTGTTTAAAATATCCAAGCAGTGAAATGTGCTCTAGTGTTTCTCTTATTAAATTCTGTCTCTTTTCCACTAATTTTTCCAGTTCCAGTTTTATTCTTATATTGTGACCCCACAAATGTTTACTGTCTCCCTCTCTCTCTGTTTTTAGTAAGTTGGTTAGCCTTTTTCAAAACATCTAAATGACAAATTTTGGCTAAGCAATAAGGGATAAAACCCTCTCCCCTGAAACTCAACACAATTCCCATTGCTTTAACCTGAACCTGTCAGCATATCTCTCTCTTTTCTGACCTGAACCTGCCAACATATCTCTCTCTCTTCTAACCCGAACCTCCCAACATATCTCTCTCTTTTCTAACCTGAAACTCCCAAGTGTTCTTAAACTCTTCTGAACCTCCTAACAAATCTTTTCTTACCTGAACCTCCCAACATATCTCCCACTTTTCTAACCCAAATCTCCCAACATATCTCCCACTGTTCTAATCTGAACCTCCCAGTAACCCGAACCTCTCAACATATCTCCTAATTTTGTAGAGTCTGAGTCTCCCAGTTATCTACTCTAACATATAACCAGGAATGCAGCTCCCACATTTCTAGCCTGTAACTCTCAAATATTCTGTTCCACTACCATGTGTAACTTCCCAACACATCTCACATTCCTTTAACCTGTGACCCCTCTCTCCAAACACACTTCCCACTCCTTTAACCTGTAATTCCCAATATATCTCTCACTCCATTACCCTTTAACTCCCCAACACATCTCCCGTTTCTTTAACCCGTTTACCCCCCTTTTCCCACATATCTCTCACTCCCCTAACATGTAGCTCCCAACATATCTCCCACTTCTCTGATGTGCAACCTCTAAACTATTTCACCTCCACTAACATATCTCCCACTTCTCTGATGTGCAACCTCTAAACTATTTCACCTTAGCTAACATGTAGCTCCCAACATATCTTCCACTTCTCTGATGTGCAACCTCTAAACTATTTCACCTCCGCTAACATGTAGCTCCTAACATATCTCCCACTTCTCTGATGTGCAACCTCTAAACTATTTCACCTCCGCTAACATGTAGCTCCTAACATATCTCCCACTTCTCTGATGTGCAACCTCTAAACTATTTCACCTCCGCTAACATGTAGCTCCTAACATATCTCCCACTTCTCTGATGTGCAACCTCTAAACTATTTCACCTCCGCTAACATGTAGCTCCCAACATATCTCCCATTTCTCTGATGTGCAACCTCTAAACTATTTCCCCATCCGCTAACATGTAGCTCTCAACATATCTCCCACTTCTCTGATGTGCAACCTCTAAACTATTTCACCTCCGCTAACATGTAGCTCCTAACATATCTCCGACTTCTCTGATGTGCAACCTGTAAACTATTTCCCCTCTGCTAACATGTAGCTCCCAACATCTCCCACTTCTCTGATGTGCAACCTCTAAACTATTTTACCTCCGCTAACATGTAGCTCCTAACATATCTCCCACTTCTCTAATGTGCAACCTCTAAACTATTTCACCTCCACTAACATGTAGCTCCTAACATATCTTCCACTTCTCTAATGTGCAACCTCTAAACTATTTCACCTCCACTAACATATCTCCCACTTCTCTGATGTGCAACCTCTAAACTATTTCACCTCCACTAACATATCTCCCACTTCTCTGATGTGCAACCTCTAAACTATTTCACCTTAGCTAACATGTAGCTCCCAACATATCTCCGACTTCTCTGATGTGCAACCTCTAAACTATTTCACCTTAGCTAACATGTAGCTCCCAACATATCTCCCACTTCTCTGATGTGCAACCTCTAAACTATTTTACCTTCGCTAACATGTAGCTCCCAAAATATCAACAAATTCTCTGACCTATAACTCTTCTTTATTGATAACAAAGACACTGAGATATTATTTGTACATTTTATTATTTACAGGTCTATGTACACACCCTCTTCCCACACACTACATGGAATAATCAGTGCCAATAGCAGACAAGAAGGAAGATAATGAGAAATGGCAGCATGTTTTAGCACAATACACCCCAAAACCGTCTTTAAAAAAGTACAGTGTTATGATTTATTATTAAACAGAAAATCTAGAGCTGGCAAATATAAATCAGTATATTTTCAAAACAGTCAGTGGACTCTTTAAAATGTATCCTCCCAGTGTGGGAACCCTGCTCTTGTTGAAACAGAAAGTAATAGACCCACTGCTTTCCTAACAAGCATGTCCTACAGGGCAATTAATTAGGGGAGTTTCCTTCTAAGTCAGAGTGCATCTGCCTCAGAGGCAAGGAAACACCAGTCTGCATATAAATAAGCCACTCTGTAAAACGGAAATGCAAATGAAACAAGTTATGGAACAAAACCAAAGCCCAGAAACTGATGAACAAGCAGAACTTTCTGCCAGAGTTTACGGCGGTTAATGTTAAGAAGAAGCAGAAAATTGTAATATCGTAAAGTAGGTTTTTTTACCACGGCTCACTGGGATAACACCGGGTCAGTTGTTTAAGCTCACTGGGATAACACCGGGTCAGTTGTTTAAGCTCACTGGGATAACACAGGGTCAGTTGTTTAAGCTCACTGGGATAACACCGGGTCAGTTGTTCAAGCTCACTGGGATAACACCGGGTCAGTTGTTCAAGCTCACTGGGATAACACCGGGTCAGTTGTTCAAGCTCACTGGGATAACACCGGGTCAGTTGTTCAAGCTCACTGGGATAACACTGGGTCAGTTGTTCAAGCTCACTGGGATAACACTGGGTCAGTTGTTCAAGCTCACTGGGATAACACCGGGTCAGTGTTCACTTTTATACCTCACTAGCATTCTTGCTTATTGGCAGGGTAGTCATGCGCTTTAAGATGGGAGTATTTAAAAAAAAACAATAAAAACTTGGGCTTCAAGATTAACCCAGCCTAAACAAAGGATACAGGAATTTTGTAAGGAAATAAAGGCAGCCAGAGTGATAATGCCAAAAATGCATCATGTTGTGAGAAAATCCTTAATATTTTTTTTAACCTTGTGTTTTGTTTAAATGTAACCAATTTATTAAACATTGAGATATCTATTGTTCAAAATATTTCATTTTATATAAAATAAGAGATTTGCTACTGAAGCATTGAATTATCTG